CCCCAAAACCCCAAAACCCCAAAACCCCACCATTCCAAATTTTTAGGCATTATTGAGAAATCATATTAAAACTTAAATTAATTAGTGAATAAACTACATGGAGATATATCTAAGCTTTATTTACTTGGTATTAAGATGCTAATTCTCCTATAAACTTCAAAGTTCATTCCTAAAACCCCCTTTAAACTATAATTCATTTCCACTGATACTCTAGAAAGTACCACCCCCACCGAGGACATCATCGATAAAACTTCTTAAACTTTAAGTACTGTAGTCAGCATCTTTGTAACCTAGATATTTACCTCTCTTAGGTTTATATGCTACTATATGATGCTTTTTATTGCCAAATTACTCATATATAGCTGATTCTTCATTCTTATTGACATAGACAAAACTAATTGGATCCTTTTAGTATAATTCCAAGATTGGTTTTATAGCTTCTACTAATTGTAATTATAAATCAGTGAAGATTATTATGCAAATATTAGATGATGTCTTTTTGCATAATCCTGATTTATACCTAGCTTCGGTAAGCTCTTGAACTTCTACAGCTTTTTAATAGCTTGGTTGTTTATAACTATAGTTATTTAGGAACTTAGTGATCCTATCGATCTTGATTTCTCCATTATAGACCTCACTTTCGAATATGAAGGGATTGGTCACAATTATGATCTTTGGAAATTCAGTTATTCCGAACCTAGTAAGCATTGCAGTGTCAGATTTTCTCACCTCTCCAAAGAGAAGCTTATCCTTGTATTGCTTTGATAGTGCTTTAAAGATAGGTGCAGTAGACTTCCTCTCAGTAAAGAGAAGTACCTTATACTTTGTTGGATCTCTATTAACAAATTAATCATAGTTGTCTGATGTAACTAGGGATACAAATGATTGCATTTTCTTGGTAGCAAAGGTAGCGATTGATTTCCAATCCATTTTGCCTTAATACTTTTCTCCATCATCCCCATAGTTCTCTTAGAATACCATTAATGTAGGATAATTGTAAACTGCAAATTCTTCACATAGTTCTTCATCCTCACTACAGTCTATAGCTCCAATCTTAACGATGCCATACATTTTCTCGGCAAGTGTTCTATACTCATCTTTTAGCTTCTTAGATTCCTCATCATCTGGCTTGTAGAAGAGCATCACCCATATTTCCTTCCTGCGATAGAATTAGAATATCTAATTTAGGTTTAGTTTAATGACATCTGAGTTTGCAAACAAATCCTCCACAGGTTACTATTGTTGCTAATGATGACCATGACCACCTCCAAAGTTGAACTAGAAGTGTTGCTAATGGCCTTGACCTCCTTTACCACCACCTCCTCCTCCGCCGAAGAATTGTTTGAAAATATCCTCTGCATTAAAATGCATATTTCCATCTGGGTTACCACCAGCCTATTGCCTTTTAACACCTTCTTCACCATGCTGATCATATATTCTTCTCTTTTCTGGATCAGAGAGTGTTTCGTATGCGTTCGCGATTTTCTAGAATCTCATTTTCGCTCCCTCAGGGTCATCCTTATTTTTATCTGGATGGTATTTAATAGCCATTTTCTTAAAGGCTTTCTTTATTTGATCTTCGTTTGCTCCTCTTTTCAAGCCAAGATCAGCGTAGTAATCCTAACTCAATATCATGGGCACAAGATATAAGAGAGACAATAAAGTTATGACGAGTTTTCTACTTGACATTTAAATAATTAAATTGTTTCTATTTTACACGTGTAATTATTTGAGCAGCATTTCATCACTCGGGGTTTTGGGGTTTTGGGGTTTTGGGGTTTTGGGG